GGACTTCTCAAATTATTTTCTTTTGTTGGTGTTTTTTTCTCCTTTTAATTTGTTTCAGGCAGCTGTGGCTGGCAGTGTTTGGGATGTGACTCAGAACAGTGTTGTCTAGTCAAAATTAATAGCATTTGCCACTCACCTTAAAAGTTATAGCTCTTTGTAGGAAAGAGAGGGGAACACAAAGTAGCAGGAGTTTGGGGTTTCATACGATTCTCAGCCCTGCTTTGTACCTGCCATCAATTGAGCTGATTAAATAGGAAATGTACTTTTAGTCCTTGTTAACAACGTTACACATGTTTCTGGTTTCTGTTGCAGTGGCTCTTCTTGCACGCCGATGCCCATTGCGCAAGACAGAAAAGTTCCTGGCTCCACTTCTGTTACTGTGAAAATTCTTTATAAAGCACGTTTTTCCCCCCCCACCGCGTTCTCCCTCCCCCATCCCAGGTTGCTTGAGGCACCATGCCAAAATTTATGGTCTGTGTATCATCAAAAAATATGTATTTCCTGGTATAAGTCAGAAGACCGATGGTAGCAGGAACAGAAGGAGAATGGAGCCATTTAAACATCATGTTTGCGCAGAAGGAGAGTTTGATTGACGTAACATCAAGAAATGTTCGACACAAAGCCCCATCAAGTGAGACAACAGGCGAGGTTTGCTGAAGGATGCCTGTACTGGAGAAGCAGCCAGCCCTGTGGGGACAGGCGTTGGCTCCAGCAGGTCTTTTAATACGTGGAATAGTTGCTAATGGACCCACGTCTCTCTACTCATTAGAGAAGGCTGGGAGGTTATGAAGCGTGCAATTTAATCACCCAGACAAGTCATCCCAGGGCACAAGAGGTTACGTGTCCTCACAAAGCGCTGCCAGGGTTGGCACGCTACCTCCTCCACTGCTCCTGAACCCGAGGGGCCTATGGGTCCTGCTCGCTCTGGGTTCCTTGGGCTGGTGGGCTTTGTGCTGAGCTCTGCTCAGCTTGGTCCAGCACAAAACTGTGTTCCAAATCCTCTCTCCCGGCCTGGTCCACACTGCCGAGAGACTTGTTTGCCTGGGTTGGATGTCTCAGCTGTGGGAGGGTGCTGGATGAGATGGAAGTCAGATGTAGCAGACTTACACTATTCAGCAGAGAGGTTTTCTGGTGCTGCGGGGACAAATAGACTTTAGGTGATGACTCACAGTCACCATGTTGAGCTTTCCCATCTGAGTAGGTTTTGCTGGTGTTTTCCAGAACTCTGGCATTTCTCCCTACAGCCGAGCAAGCGGACTCTCCTCCTTGAGGCTGTGGCTCTTGATGGTGTCAGAGTATCAGCCTTCGTCACAGCCCCGCGGTCCGGATGAGCCCTTATAATTGATCTCCAGTCACAATCCAGATGTGGATTTCATCTGGGCTTTGCACTCCTGCAGAGGAGAGGTTATGGGACTACCGAGGGACAGGCTGGGTGACAGCATGCCCCGTATCACACATCACACTGCATCCCGTGGCATCTTCTCCAAGTTGTGTGAGGCCTGAGAGGGGTCCTTTTGTGCAGTAGGTGCAGTGGGATGGGGCCCTGCCTGTCACTTATGCAGCTCATTGCTCCATCAAGCCGTGGATATTGCTCACAAACTAGGTGCAGTGGGATGGGGCCCTGCCTGTCATTTACGCAGCTCATTGCTCCATCAAGCCATGGATGCTGCTCACAAACTGAGAGAAAAGGACAAGGAAAGCACTTGCAGAAGGACCAGCAGCACCATATCCAGAAAACAGCTGTATAACAGCAGAGATACCATCTAGTTACAATCTACTACTACTTCCCTCAAGGTTTTCTTAATTTTTCCCCTCCAGTGACTCAAACGTCACCTTCCCCAAGAGCCGTGTATGTCCTTCTTCTTTCCCCTCTTTCTTCACCCACTTTCTTCTCCTCTTCGTCCCCCAGGCACTTGCCAGACAGACCCAGGCTGGAGACTGGGGTCTCCCCAAGTTCTGGGTGAGGTGTTTGAAGCAAGAAATTTCTCCAATCCTATGAGCAGAATTTCCCTTTTGTGAAGATGCTGCCTGTCTCTCAGCAGGCCCATTTCACAGAAACCTCCCTCCCAAAGAGGCTCCTCTGTATTAAACCACACCTTGTGCCTCAGCCAGATCCCACGTTATTTTGATCCCAAGTTCTGGGTGAGGTGTTTGAAGCAAGAGATTTCTCCAATCCTATAAGCAGAATATCCCTTTTGTGAAGATGCTGTCTGTCTCCCAGCAGGCCCATTTCACAGAAACCTCCCTCCCAAAGAGGCTCCTCTGTATTAAACCACACCTTGTGCCTCAGCCAGATCCCACGTTATTTTGATCCCTCGTATCTTGTTCCCCTTTCCCACCTTGCTGCTGCAGGAGGTCATGACGGCAAGGATGAAACCAGTCAATGTGCCCCTGGCTTGATGTGACATTTGGAAACTGCTCCTGCAACAGACGGTGTGACCAGGGGGAGTGCAGAGGAGCGTGGTTGTGCACACTCAGCTGTGAATACCTGGCAAGGACACAATCCCTCAGGAGGAGCAGATGCACCACCCAACGTTGTGACCATACAGGTGGGGACTGTGGGCAGCTGTCAGAAACTCTGGCTTCTTTCTGTGCCCTGTAGAACTACAGATCCTTTACAAACAGGTAAGGCATGCGTTTATCACTCTGCAACGAAACCAGTCAATGTGCCCCTGGCTTGATGTGACATTTGGAAACTGCTCCTGCAACAGACGGTGTGACCAGGGGGAGTGCAGAGGAGCGTGGTTGTGCACACTCAGCTGTGAATACCTGGCAAGGACACAATCCCTCAGGAGGAGCAGATGCACCACCCAACATTGCAACCGTACAGGTGGGTCTGTGGGCAGCTGTCAGAAACTCTGGCTTCTTTCTGTGCCCCGTAGAACTACAGCTCCTTTACAAACAGGTAAGGCATGCGTTTATCACTCTGCAATCGCCTTTCTGTGTGGGATGGCGAGGCAATCTTCCAAAATCCCCCTTGCCCAAGGCAGCGTGGTGCTTGTCCCCCCCCTGCCATTGTATCAGTCACCGAAGCACAGCCTCTGAGCCTCCTCTCTCCTCCCTCCCACCAGCACGGGCATCCTCCTCTTGGCACTTCAGCCCCAAGATGTTCCTGGGAGATTTTCCTAGGAGTTTTTTTGCATACTGACTTTTAGGACAAAGTGGTGTGTACGCTGCGGATTGTAAGGGACTCTGGCACAAAACAGGAGACACATCGATATCACTGCATGGGGGGGTCACCAGCATCTGCCTCTTGAGTAGCGTGTGCTTCACAGTTTCATAAAGGTATCTCATCCCAGAAGAAAGGGATGTGACTAAAGCATAAGCAGCAGAAAATAATGAAAGCTGAAAAGAATTGTAGCCTGACTTGAAGACAGCCCAGGCTACAACAGATACACAGGTCTTATTTTGATCCAAAAGGAGGGTAAGAATGGCTCTGGGTCACTCCTCCCATGACAAATCTGGGACTCTCCCATTATGTGCTGCTTTTCTTCGCAGCTGGTGTGAGTCCACGTATTGCCAGGTACAGCCATGGGGGCTGGAAGTTTCAGAGGACACACACAAACTGACAAGTTTTCAGTTGCACACTGGCAACTTAGGCCCTGGCACACCCTCCCTCTCCTCGATAAACTATCTGGTGACAGGACTCACTACAAACTGACACCCTGCAACTTGCTGAGAAAAGCGTGCGCTTCAGCTTCGCCTCCTCCCTTTTCTCAGCAGACTTCTTTCCCTTTTAACCTGAGAGAGATGGTATTATTACTTATTTATACATATTATCATATATTTCACAGAATATTCATGGTTGGAAGGGACCTTTGAGATCATCAAGTCCAACCACAAAAAAACAAAAACAAAAATAACAACAACAACAACAAAAAAAAAACCCCACACCACACCCACCCACAAACAGACACAAACCAACATTCTCAGGCACCAGAGCATGCCCTGAAGGGCCACATCCACACGTTTCTTAAATCCCTCCAGGGATGGTGACTTCACCACCTCCCTGGGCAGGCTGTTCCAGGGCCTGACCACCCTCTCAGCAAAGTCATTCTTCCCAATATCTAATCTAAACCTCCCCTGCCCCAACTTCAGACCTTTCCCTCTGCTCTTGTCATTATTCCCTTGGGAGAAGAGGCCAATCCCCACCTCTCTACACCCTCCTTTCAGGGAGTTGTAGAGGGCAATAAGGTCTCCCCTCAGCCTCCTCTTCTCCAAACTAAACATGTCCAGTTCCCTCAGCCTCTCCTTGTAGGACTTGTTCTCCAGATCCCTCACCAACTTTATGGCTCTCCTCTGGTTAAATATATATATATATATTTATATAACCCTGGCATCCCAGAACCTGTTGGAGAACACAGGTACTGTGCCATACAGAGTAGAAATACAGAGCAGCTTGACTGGGGATTAGGCACTAATAAAAGTGCAAAGGTGTGTGGAGAACAGGTATCTGCTGTGAAGGGAATCAGATGAAGTTTCGTCTGTGTGATTCACAGCATCTAAGGTAGACTGTGCTCATCACAACGCAGAGGTTTTGCCACAGGAGAGGACGATGAGGTGCTAAAACCTGGCTGGCTCTGACCTTTGCTGTTTGCTTGGTCAGTATATTGAGTTCTCCCTCCAGGAGGTTTGGGACAGAAGTGAACGAGTGACATTTCTGCTGCCTGCTTGTCTATTTTGGCTGCTACTGCCCTTCCCTGCATCTGCACAGGCTGCTGGTCTGGTCTGTTTGTGACGGTTCAGGATTGTTTGCACATTTTCAAACTCAGGAAAAAGGAAAAACTGGAAACGGAGCCAAGGAGCTGAGCAGAAGTGTCACAGAAATGTGACAGAGGCACTGCGCGGAGGCAGGAGGGACCAGCAGGTCCTCCCTTCTTCAGAGGCAATCGTGTAGTGAAATTTCTAGCAGCTAATAGCTCCCCATCATAAACTGCAGTGGGAAATGCGTCTTTGGAAAAGAGGCACAAACAACTCTGCCAAAAACTCCGACAACAAAGTCTTCCAAGTTTCCAAAATATGACGGAAAATATCCTTCGGGGTCAGCAAGCTGGACGGCAAGCCCTTCCCAGGACTGCAACCGGGGAACGCAGAACAGAGGGAGCCTTTCCAAGGGAGGCTGCTGGGACCAGAGGCAGCGAGGGACGGGCGTCCCGGCAAACGGCGCTGGCTGCCCGCACGGCACCGTCGGCCGAGGGGGTGCCGGGCAGGGGCTGCCATGGCCCCGGTGCAGCTCAACACCTGGCTGGTCCTCTGTGTGTTTGCTGGCTCCCAGAGGCTGACAGGTAGGAAAGGCACCTGCCAACCCGCGCGGCTTCTCGGCTTGGCAAGCCTTTGTGAGATGCCAGTGGCCCCCGAGGCTTTGCCTGCTTCTTCTAACATGGCCAAGGGCTTCAGCTGGCCATGCTGGCACGGGTCGGGGGAGGACGTGGTGGTAGGAGTCCTGGCTGGGGTGGTGCAGGGGGGAGACACTGGTACCCACTTGCAGGGTACCCACAGAGCTGCTGCTGTGTTCACAGGTGGCAGGGGGAGGGCTTTCTTGGGTCTCCGCTGAAAAAGTCTGCTCCTGTAATAATGTTTGTGGATTTGTTAGATCCTTTTTTGGGAAAAAAAAACACACACAACCAAACTGTTGAATGATTAAGTAAACAAGGGAGTGTTTTCTCCTCTGCAAAGAACATCTGTGCTATTATTTCAATACATTATTTGTTATGCTTTGTTTAAATTTTTGTTTTACTCTGCTCGAAACTCTAACACCGCGTATATTTATAAGACAGATCCTGATAACAGCCATTTGGCAGCTGTTCAGCAAATTCACTGACTTTGCAGCCCATCAGATATCCCTCAGAAGAGGGATCTGGGAGCTTAGGAGGTCCGCTAGCAGAGAGAAGCCCAGCGAAGACATTTTCAAGTGATGTAGTACCTTCACCTGAGCAAAAAGCTTTGCTGGCACACCCATGGAGCAGTAGGAAGGAACAGCTTACATCCCTGCTCACATTCCAAAGCTACAGCTGGCTTGGAGCCTGCAGCTGTGCAGGGAAACAAATCTCTGCAGCCTGGGGGGTGGCAGGATGCTTCTTCAGGCAGCTCCTACGTCTCCCTGAAGGGCTTTAATCAAGAATGGAAAGTTGGAAGCAGGGTTTGGCAGTAGTCATCACACACATACAGTATTAAATCATTTTTCTGCTTGTGATAAGCACCTGCTGTCCTTAACTCTGGAGTGCTGAGCATAAATTCTTCCTCTTGTTTTTTGTTTTTTTGTTGGTTTTTTTTTTTTTATAAAAAAGCCTTCATCCATATAAAAATGAAGAAGAAAAATGTGTCAGAGAGCTTACTATTTTATACGAGCTGGTTTTTTTTCCTCTCCTCTCTCGTCTTTCCTGACCTGAAGGATGAGTCTGTAAGAAGTAGAAGAAGGTCTTGACTCCACAATGATGCTGATCAACACAGAGAAGGGAGGGGCTGCAGCCTCCCTCTCAAAGCTGGGGCTGAGGCTACTTGTGTCTCCCTTTTTCACAAAGAAAGAAAAAAAACGAAGGCAAAACAAATGCAGAAATTTAAAGCATTAGAAATATTAGTAAATGAAAACTGAAGAGTTCTTAGGATTAATGTGGCTCTCATATTAATAAACTCCCATTCCTCTGGCCTCCTATCCATTATTTCCCAGTTTAAATGGTGATGGGTGGCCCAGCAAGGAATTAACTGGACATGAGAAGAGCCATCACGAGCCTGACCAGGTGTTTTTTTTTACCCTCCCATTCTGCCCCCGCCAGCAGCAGATGCTCAGGGAAGAAGTATAAAACCAGGATAAGCATCAGGTTGTTTTTCCACCAGTGGTTAGAGGGGTGTCCCAACACCCTCCTTCTGCTGGGCAGCGCTTTCTCCCAGCAAAAACTGCTGAGCAACCAAACCCCATCAGATCAAAACCCTCATTCTTGGTGAGAGGGGTCTCCTTGCTGCCTGTCAAAGCAAGGGCCTTTGCTACCGTACACTTTAGCTCTGTTGACAGGATTAAGGCCCATCATATAGCGTAGTGGCCCCTCACCACAGGAAGGACATTGAGGTGCTGGAGCGTGTCCAGAGGAGAGCCACCAAGCTGGTGAGAGGTCTGGAGAACAAGTCCTGTGAAGAGAAACTGAGGGAACTGGGCATGTTTAGTTTGGAGAAGAGGAGGCTGAGGGGAGACCTCATTGCCCTCTACAACTCCCTGAAAGGAGGGTGTAGAGAGGTGGGGGTTGGCCTCTTCTCCCAAGGGAATAACGACAGGACCAGAGGGAATGGTCTGGAGTTGTGGCAGGGGAGGTTTAGATGAGATATTGGGAAGAATGACTTTCCTGAGAGGGTGGTCAGGCACTGGAACAGCCTGCCCAGGGAGGTGGTGGAGTCACCATCCCTGGAGGGATTTAAGAAACGTGTGGATGTGGCACTTCAGGGCATGCTCTAGTGCCTGAGATTGTTGGGTTGTGTCTGTTTGTGGGTGGGTGTGGTGTGTGGTGGTTTTTTGTTTTGTTTTGTTTTGTTTTTCTGTGGTTGGACTCAATCTCAAAGGTCCCTTCCAACCATGAATATTCTGTGATATCAAAGACTTACACTTGCCTCCCTTGGCCACTTCTCTTAAAAAGCCTGTTTTGCTCATCAAAACCCCGTGGTCAGCATTTGTCATGTTTGGCAGGCTGTGAGTGGCAGCTCAGAGATATTGAAGGCGTTATTGACAACCAAATGACAAAAAATAAACAGGAAGGGCTGAGGTCTTGCATTATCAAACTCTTCCTAATGTCTTCCAGATGAACATCCTCACCGCAGGGACGATGCCGGTGCAAACACCCCCCATCGTGGCCCGGAGGACGCCGACGTCATGTTAGAGGTCTCCTGGGTGGTGTTGGGGGCCCGTGGGCCAAGGCACTGTTAGCACCCGCAACCCCACCTGCCTGCACGTAAAAACCCGCATGTTCTGCTTGTTCTCATTCCTGCCCAATTTTGGGAGTGCCTGGAAAACACCCCGGCAATGCCCTTATTGTGTTTGTGCTCCCTCCCATTGCGGGGTGAGGCTGAAGGGGGTTCTGACCCCCTCCATGGCACCTCACAACTCCAAGGTGGGACGAGGGACACCTCCACCCCCCTAAACCCAGGGGAGCTGCCACGGGCAAGACTGCAGTGGGGGAGGTAGGGCGGGAGGCGAGAGCTGGAGGGGTCCTGCAGGGAAACTGAGGTGTGGGTCTGGTCAGAAAAGGGGTGTGGGGCTGTCAGAGAAGGACATGGAGTGGGACTAGGCGGGCCGTGGGCAGTGAGTCAGGGAGCAGCCGCCTCTCGGTCCGGTCTGAGATTTGGCAGCATCGCAGATGGCTTCACAGCTGGGTTGTAGCTGCCAGAGATTTGTGCTGGGCTTCCCGTGCACATGTTGCTTCTTTCTCTTCTTCTTCTCTTCTTCCTCTCCTCTCCTCTCCTCTCCTCTCCTCTCCTCTTTTTTCTCTTCCAGATGCTCTGGGGAGGGCTGGATATTCAGCCCAACGGGACGATGCTGCTGCAGGACGAAGAGCTGGCCTCCCTGCGCCCGGTGCGGCAGTTCATGCAGATTTTAGAGGAGGAAGTTCCCAAAACACCACCAGAGGTTGAGCAGCACCTGAGATATTATTCACTGACTGATACCCCTTTGCCTCTCACAGAGTTCGACCGGCTCCTTTTCACGAGTGTTTACTGCGCCCATCAGATTCGCTCCACGCAAGGTCTGGATAAAAATCTCTGGATTAATTTTTTCTCTCAGGCGGTTGACGAAATCTTTCGCGATCTGTGCAAGGGGCTCTGCCCTGCAAATACCACCCTCCTCCTGGCTTCTTGGCCCTGGAAGGAGAAGCCTTCCCATTTAGCATCCCTGAAACACTTCTATCCTTCTAACCTGGCCAGGACAAAGAGAGACACTTGATAAGGGAAACTACCGTAGTAAAGGACACACCTGACTCCAGCTGCATCCTTGGTCACTTTGAGTGCTTTCCGCATTATTCAGGACTTTGTACAAATATGCCTTGCTTTTTGTCCTGCTTTCTGCAGGATTTATATCTAAGGATTTATACACAATCTTTTGTTTTTAAATGAAATAGGACAAACTATACAGTGCATTTTACCCTTTCTTGGTTTTGGGGTGGTTTTTTTCCCTGTTTGTTTTTTCTTTTCTTTTATGTGGGCTGTGCTGAAGGGGGCAGTGCCACATAGATGTGTTATCTGTCTCCATCACTGGTGCTTACTGGGGAGATGCCCTTTTTCCAGGATGTTACACTGGTGTCCTCGCTGACTTCGTTTCAGATAATTCAGTTCAGCATCCTTATATCCCCACTGAGGTTTCAGCCAAATACAATTATCTCTTCTCCTCTCCAGTAACCAGCTAAGCAGCTTTTGTTGTTTTTCATAATATAGGTCACAGATTTCATTTGAGCTTTTTGCTCATGTAGCATCACATTTTATGTGTCTATAGTCATTTCCCATCTCATGTGTTCCTTCTTCCTTAAAAAGCAACCTGAAAATGTACATATTCCATGAAGCTTTCTAGTATTTGCATGTCATATTTACACATGTACTCTGCTTTGTGTCAGTTGTCAGTTTGGAATATACTTCCTTAAATCTCATTTCAATTCCTAAGGATTGTGACCTAGTTATTTCTTCAGCAGATTTTGTCTCTTCTATTAAGGTTTTTTTTGTACAGATACGGCACTTTACAAGCCAAACATAATAAATACACAATCTCGATCCTCAGAACCAGAAATACAATCGTTTCATAGAAAAAGATTAACCTTTCTCTGTCCTACACATTACAGTGTGGAATCAAATAAATGTAATTATCTACTCTGGAGGGTTTTGATTACTTTTTTTCCCCTCACTTCTACTAGGTTTGCTCCTGCCATTATAGGTACATTAATTTTGAACATTCATTGCCTGTGCTTAGATGATGGGATCCATAATTCCCTTTTTATCAATACACTCTTAATTTTCCATGCTCAACAAAGGAGGCATGTGTGACATTGGAAGTGGGAACCACTAGCTTTTGACCTAGTTATTCGTTTTCCAAGCCATTGTTGCCCAACAGATGGTGAGGAGAAATGGTGAGGCAGGAATAAGAAGCCTGGAAGCAAGATGCTACAGAGAATGGTTTAGAGGTCAGGTTAGGGCTGTGACAGGAGAAGGTAGATTTACACAGTTCATAAAGCAGGTTGGCTGTTGCTTAACGTCACATTTAATGTTCTTCTATTCTTATGCTGGTTGTTTTTTTTTTTCATACCTCCAATTTCTACCCTTCATCCTTTTCCCAAATATGCCCCCAGTTTTTAATGTCTAGGATACGTATGGAGTGACAGAGGCAGGGAGTGGCTGCAGACAAGTCCAGTTCGAGCAGAGAATATCATCAAAAAGCTGAGCTGGGATGGCAGTAGTGCATGAAAATATTGTCTTGCTGGAGAATATACAGTCAGAGCTATATGAATGTCGATTAAGCAGATTATAAAACAAACTCAGGCAATGTCACAAAGTTTCATGCATGTTCAAGATGATGCACTTTTGCAGTTTATGTATTTTGGGAGACAAACTAGGGTTTAGCTTGACTCAAACAGCACCAATCACACTATGATGAAGCCTCCAGCCTCTGCCTTTTCTACCCCCCTCCTGGGTGGATCCTGCCATCAATCCCAACTGCCCTGAAGGAACACACCAGTGCCCTCCACAGCCACACCAGTCTCTACAGCAGCGCTACAGCCCAGCAGAACACTGTGTGGGAAACCACTGGAACACACATCACTTAATGGTACCTCTGATCCTGTTTGCACTGGTTTACTGATACAGCATATGGCAAGGTAGCCATACTCTTGGATGCAAGAAGCTCATTTTTGGAGAGTGTAATGCCCCTGGCAGCCAACACTGCTGTTGCATGGCATGATAATGCTCACACACTTACACATCATGAGCCTGCTCCTGACCCAAATATTAAGAGATTTAAAAATACAGTTTTTGTTCCTTGTACTTACCTTTCTTCTGAGCTTTCAGAGGATGGTCTGCTCATAGATTTGAGCCCTCATCCTTTACCACAGGGGCTAGAAGCCTACTTTTGTTTGTTTCTAATGTATTACTTTCGTGGAACAGAAGTTGAGATTCTCAAACCCACCTTTTTGACTTCATCAACAGCAGGTTAGAAAAAGCACCAACTATTGTGAAACCTGTAATAAAATCATTAGAGGTACCAACACTTCACACACATAAATGATAAAAAAGAGTGTGCACAGGCAAATTGGCTCAGTAACCCATATGGCAGTTCATACAATCACCAGGCTTCTTTCTCTTCTGATACCTTAGTCATGACACGCACATGAGTCGCACAAGTAACAACAAATTCCAATCCAAGAAAATTTCACACCTTTTGTATTTTTATTACATTCATTTTCATTACATTTATTCCCTCCCCAGATCTGCAAGGCAAGTCACCACATCCTTTGCTTTCTGGGCGCTGGGGATCTGCAGTAACACTACCGCAGTGTTCCTCTGATTCTCAGCATCTCACTACGCTGCCCCCACCCCTGCCCCAAAACTACATCATGCTTTATGCTTAAATCGAACACCAACACAGGACGCACACATACAACCTGTAAAGACCTTTCTATGGATGAACGGCAGACACAGCAGTGGCCCTGCAGACAGGGCACAAGCGTGCAGCAGAAGAAAAGCACTGGACACATGACAGCATGCTCGAAGTAGAGGATGATATTCCAAGAGGAGCTATACCCAAGTTCATGGCACCTTGGCTTTTCTTACGCTCCTTTCACACCTGCATTTAATTATTTGACCCTTGGGGTGAGCCGGCACCTGGCAGCCGCTTTGACTGAGCCTCTGAATAGATCAGGAAGCCTGTGAAGGTGATGTACTTGCCATGGTTGCTGTAGGCACCATATCCATCGTGCTGATGGCTGTAGAGCCAAACAGTGTCCCCGTATTGCAGAGGCAGCATGATGCTCTGGCTCTGCATCTCTCGCCTCTTGGAGTGGTTGTCATCGTAGATCATGGCCTGCACCTCGTTGTGATTCTTCATAAGTTTCACTGACATAGTCTTAAAGGGCATTTTGCCAATGGTGAAGGAGAAATAGTATGCACCGGGTATACGGCACGAGAAGATGCCAGTGGAGGAATTGAAATCTTTTCCAATGTTCACAAACTCTGTGTCAAACGTGATTGGCTCATGCTGGGTTTGCTTGTCATCTGTCCCCAGGAGACTTTGCGAGCGGGCAACAGAAAATGCGGAGCGAGGGTCTTGTTCCCTGTTTGGTTGATCAGATAACACATGTCGCTGTGAAGCTTCACTCTGCTCTCCGGGAAACTGCTGAATAGTGTGATGGTGTGGACCCACCTCTTGAGAGCTAAGAGCATTCTGGAAGAAGGCAGAAGTGTCCGGGTAGATTAGGTAGCCATTGAAAGTTGTGTAGGGGCCCACATTGCTATAAAGAGCATATTTGGGATCTCCATGTAGACGCAGCCAGACTGTGTCACCATAGTCAAGCTGCAGCATGGCACTCTGGCTGGCCACCTTCCGTTCCTTGCGGTGATGTTCATCATACACAATCACTTGTACCTCATTCTTGTTTCTCATCAGCATGACAGACAAGTTTTTCTTTGGGTATTTCCCAACGGTGAAGGAGAAGTAGTAGGCTCCAGGGATTCGACAGCGGAACAATCCAGTCTTGGGATCAAAGTCATTGCCAATGTTCACATACACTTTGTCAAAGGTAATGACCATCTCAGAGCTCCCTTCCATGCTGCTGGTTCTGGCCACAGAGAAAGCAGAGCGAAATTCACTACTGGTGTCTGCTGGGAAGCCATCTGTAGGCAGAAAAACCATACAGCAAAGGAAGCCAAACAGGATTTCAACCTTCAGTGTCATCATTGTGTCTGAAAGGAAAAATAAGTATATTTTAGTAGGAATCCCATCAATTTCCAGCTCATACTCCAGTTGAAACCAAGACTTGAATCTTGCTAAAGAGACATGAAGGTCTATGTCCAAATATTGAGACGTTTCCAGTGCATTCTCTGACCAGTGTACGGGACCGCACCTCAGTTCAAATCCCAGCACCATTTTGATGCTTTCCTAGCAGGAGCTTGACCTTTTTTTCGCTCTACTTGTAGGAAGAAAAAGAATCTTCTCCTTTGAAAGCTTGGCTATCCTACAGCTTGTCTGCGAAACGCTGTGTTGCTCACAATGCAGAGGAATCTCAGAGCTTGCTGGGGCTTTGCCAGAGCTCCCTTTTGTAGTTCTTTTATTCATAAGGCCAAAGATGAAACAAAGCCCTACACAGACCCTGTATTATACAACCAAGATACAGCTGAAGGGCAGGGAGAAGAGGACATATGCTCTAGAGATTCCCATGCGGATGACATTGCCTAGCACTGCACTAGCTGTTTCAAAGGATGTGGAAGCCAAGTAAGCTGGTAGATGCCATTATTCAGACAGGCTTCACCATGAATCTGTGAAGAGTGTAAAGAAACTAGAACATGAGGAAATGTTTAGGGAAGGAGAGAAGACCATGGAAGAAGGAGAGAAGACCATGGAGAAAATGATGAAATGAAAAAAAGAAGGAAAACAAAAGATAAATAAAAGGCAAGTCTCCCAAAGTACAGAATCCCTGAGAGACAACTGAAATACCAAAAACAGAGAAACAACTCCTTATGTGGATAATAGACTAGAGATGAAAAACTTCTTTGACCCTTAAGAAAGAGGGATAAGTTAGGAGCTAATGGGATTTTCTGCTTCTAGTTTCTGTGATTTTTTTTTTTGGACTGAGGCCCAAAACCATCTATTAGTGCTTTCAGGCTGAAAACAAAACTGCCAGTCATTCCAATGAGAAGCTTCTCTCTCTGTCACCTCTCTGTGCTTATTAAAATATCATTCAGGCTGGGAGGCAACTGCCTGGTTTGCAGTCTGCCCCATCTGTCACCCCAGAACTGGTGCCTTGCCAGCCTGCAAACAATGAATTCACAGACCAGCAGAACAGGGGCAAAACATGCTAATCATTGGGGGGAAGGGTGAAGACAAATCCTGAATTAAAAAGGATAAAGGGGTAAATATTTGAATCATCTGGGATGGCCTAGGAATAGAAGTAAAGCAGACGGAATCCACGTAGACTGTGAGGTGGCAATGGGATCCTGTTTTGGCAAGATACAATACCTAGAATCACTCACCAACGGGAATTCAGTTTGACCTACAGTCCTTTCACACTTGAAAATAAAACTGAAATCTGAAACGCAGCTCTAACAGATGTGAATGCAAGAATGAATAAAATTCTCAATTACATGAAAATGACATGCTAGCAAAGACAAATCCTAATTTTACAATAGATCACTTCTCTGACAAACACATCAGTATTTTCCTCCATGCCCCTGAACTCAGAATGTTCTTCCTGACTTCTCCTGAACACATCCATGAGACCCCATGGGCTGCACTGGAGGATGTTGAAAGAGCTGACTGATGTCATATTGAAGTCACTCTCTATAATCTTTGAAAGGTCATGGAGATCAAAGGAGGTCCCTGGTGACTGGAGAAAGGTAAATGCTGCACCCATCTTCAGAGACGATGCCCCTCACTTTGGTCCCTGGGAAAAACATGGAGTGTTCTTCTTGGAACACATTTCTAGGCAAATGACATGACATTTAGCATGTGTTGACCAGTTAAGGGTGGATTATGTCTAACCAAACTGATTGCCTTCTTGTGAGAAGGGACCAGTGGATATTGCCTACCTTTTTTTACACTCTCCCAGACCATTCCTGTGTTACAATCTAGGTAAGTGGGCTAGTAGATGGGTGAAAAACTGGCCAGGTTGCCAGGCCCAAGGGCAAGTGTTTAATATTTAATTTCCTATGTCCTCTTTAATATTTCTTATCAGTGACCTGGAGAAGGAGACAGAATGCCCACTTGTCAACGTTGCAGAGGGTTTCCCACCACATTTGGAGGCACAGCTGCTATTCAGAGGCACCTAGACAGGCTGGAGGAATGGACTGAAAGGAAATTCTGCAAGGATGAATGCAAATTCCTGTACCTGGGATGGACTAAGCCTGTTGGTACAGGCTGGGGACTAACTGGCCAGGGTGCAGTGCTACTGAAAAGGATCTAGGAACCTTGGAGAGCAATAATTTATACCTGAGTTAGTGCTATGCCCTGCAAGCAATGAAGGCTAACAGCACACGGGGGTGCATTAACAGAATGTAGCAACTAACTGGCCAGGGTGCAGTGCTACTGAAAAGGATCTAGGAACCTTGGAGAGCAATAATTTATACCTGAGTTAGTGCTATGCCCTGCAAGCAATGAAGGCTAACAGCACACGGGGGTGCATTAACAGAATGTAGCCAGTAACCACTGGCAGTGATTATCCCCCCTTAGTTGGCACTTGAGTGATGCCAGGAGGACAGCCAAGATGACTGAGGTCTGGAGCACCTGCCCTATGAGGAGAGGCTGAGGGAACTGGGCTTATTTAGCCTGGAGAAGAGAAAACTTAGGGGGGATTTAGTAGTAGCCTTCCAGTACCTATGTGTGCAGTGCTACTGAAAAGGATCTAGGAACCCCGGAGAACAATAATTTATAGCTGAGTGAGTGCTATGCCCTGCAAGCAATGAAGGCTAACAGCACACTGGGGTGCATCAACAGAATGTAAACAGTAACCACTGGCAGTGATTATCCCCCCTTAGTTGGCACTTGAGTGATGCCAGGAGGACAGCCAAGATGACTGAGGTCTGGAGCACCTGCCCTATGAGGAGAGGCTGAGGGAACTGGGCTTATTTAGCCTGGAGAAGAGAAAACTTAGGGGGGATTTAGTAGTAGCCTTCCAGTACCTATGTAGAGGTTACTGAGACGACAGAGATAGATTCTTCATTGATGTGCATGGTGGGAGAATAAGAGGCAATGGTCATAAAATCCAAAGAGGAAGGTTCAACCACATATAAGCAAAATAATTTCATGCTGAGAGCAATTAAGAATGAAACAGATTACCCAGAGAGATTGGGATATCTCCATCCTTGGAAGTTTTCAAGACCAGACTGGATTAAGCTGTGAGCAACCTGGTCTGCATTCAGTGTTGGCCCTGCTTTCAGGTCAGGCTAGAGATTCTATAACTAATACCCATAGTTGTTGGCCCTGCTTTCAGGTCAGGCTAGAGACCTCCTAAATCACGGTTCCTGATTCTATAACTAATACCCATAGCTATTGCCTTCTCACAGTTGAAAATTCAGTCACTACTAACCCTAGCCATGCCACTTACAAGGAACTAACCAGCTAATGGCAGGTCTGACAGACTATCTCTCATGCAGCAAATTAATTTAATAAAGCATTTTCAATGGATCCATTAAGCCATAGCTAATTACCAAGCATCTGCTTCCATGCAGTCTTTATTTTTCCTCACTTGGCCATTTAGTTTGCGAACTCCTCAGGGCAAAGACTCTCTCTCTTCCCATGTCTGTGCAGCATTTGGCAATTGCTTCCGTTTATTTTTCCTCACTTGGCCATTTAGTTTGTGAGCTCCTCAGGGCAAAGACTCTCTCTTCCCATGGCTGTGCAGCATTTGGCAATTGCTTCCAGTTAAACAATACTAATAGGCCTTAACATCCCATCATTAACTAAATTCCAAACGGTCACACTGTGAGCTGAACCTCTGGTCCACCAGTATAATTTTTGCAGAGTGCAGAGTGCTACATCTAGCACAGCAGGCTTGTTTCAGCTTCCAGCTTAGAAAACCAAGCCCTAAAGGCAAACTTATAAGGGCTATTAGATGTTTCTGATTCATACTCATCCATGGTTATTCCAATGATCACCGTGGTGTGGCCACATGGAGAACCAGGATGGCTGTGACATGGCTGCATGCTCTTGAGACAAATGAGAGGAGAGGCTCTGGTATTTGTGTTTTTAGCCACACTAACCAGCCTGCTCTCCAGAGCTCACTCAGCGTATCTGGGAGTCAGGGAATATACTGCAAGCACGTCACTGCTGGCCAAAAAACCTACAAAGACAAAACAGTTTAATTCAATGGATCCATTAAGCCATAGCTAATTACCAAGCATCTGCTTCCATGCAGTCTTTATTTTTCCTCACTTGGCCATTTAGTTTGTGAGCTCCTCAGGGCAAAGACTCTCTCTTCCCATGGCTGTGCAGCATTTGGCAATTGCTTCCAGTTAAACAATACTAATAGGCCTTAACATCCCATCATTAACTAAATTCCAAATGGTCACACTGTGAGCTGAACCTCTGGTCCACCAGTATAATTTTTGCAGAGTGCAGAGTGCTACATCTAGCACAGCAGGCTTGTTTCAGCTTCCAGCTTAGAAAACCAAGCCCTAAAGGCAAACTTATAAGGGCTATTAGATGTTTCTGATTCATACTCATCCATGGTTATTCCAATGATCACCGTGGTGTGGCCACATGGAGAACCAGGATGGCTGTGACATGGCTGCATGTTCTTGAGACAAACGACAGGAGAGGCTCTGGCATTTGTGTTTTTAGCCACACTAACCAGCCTGCTCTCCAGAGCTCACTCAGCGTATCTGGGAGTCAGGGAATATACTGCAAGCACGTCACTGCTGGCCAAAAAACCTACAAAGACAAAACAGTTTAATAAACTCTGTAGTGAATCTGACCTTATGTTCCTTCAAATGACCACTATCCTTGTTTCTGTCCCAAAGCTAATTTCTCTGTAATAAGGTCACTTACTAAAGGTTGGATCACTCAGTAACGGTTGCAAAGATTCTCTGCTGCTGCAGTCCCTTATGTATCAGCTCTTCCCAATAACTTACTGGCACATCATTTAAATAAGGCAGTTAATTATGCTGTGTTTCCATTAGCAAGTCGTTTCCTTGACAGCTCCCACTCACCACTTTCAGGGCTATTTAGGTTCTTTATCTTTTTAAAATAA